TGCTTATACAGCTCCTAAAATTTAATAAAAACAGACATGGCGTAAACATCAATGAAGCGGTATTTAAAAACATGGCAAATGATAACTGTATAAAATTCAAAGTAACCTTTTCAACTTTACATGAAACTTTAATATGTCTCTTAGCGTGTTTGATGAAAATGCAAGCTACGAATCTATTTGATTAGGTATGCATGACCACTTTATACATCAAATCGTTTTGTAAAGTAAAATTCCTACTTATTGCACACATTATTTCATCTTTTGTAGCATATTTTAACACATGATTGGCTGCATTATATGTTGATTTCACTGCCATTTTACGACATAGGAAACGAAGTAATATTTGGTTGCAATTACCATATCATTACGTTTTACATAAAAAAATATTATGAGACATGAATCGCATTATCCTATTTCTCTAGATTAAAATGTTTTCTCTATTTCCAACATGTCCATGTCCATGTTATATAAAATAAGGCACTATGAAATGTGGTATGATTGCCAATTGGACAATTACCTATATACCGGTAAAACAGAGACCAAATGACGTGGATTTAAGCAATTGTAGGTCACCATACGACCTTCAACAGTGAGCAAACCCATACCGTATAGTCAGCTTAAAAATGACAAAATGTCAAACAATTCAACATGTTCAAACGCGATAAACCAACGTACGGGCCTAATTTATGAAAAAAAAACAATAACGAAAAAACAGGTGTACTGACAGACAGCAATCAACGACAACCAGTGAATTACAGGCTCCTGTGCCAGGTCGTGACGTACAGAATGAAATACAGAATATGGCGGGGGTAAACATGTTTTTAAGAACCCAACATTTCCCTAACCTTGGACAATGGTTTAAACAGGACAACATAAGAATAAACTGTAAGAATTAGTTGAAGTGATCTCTGAAATGACTTGATTCCACTATTCGTCGATTCGAAGCACAAAACAACGAACATAAAGACAATAGACACAAAGTACCGATGAAAGAGTACTCATATTTGCTGAAATATAGTCCAAAGCCAAATCACGTTCTCCAACACTCCGTGCCGAGTATTAAAATTGTCAACCAGAACACATCGGCCAGGGGTGTAGCTAGGTATCCAATAAACTGTAGGCACAAATTGCGGCCGGGTCCATCAGGTCCAGGCCAGAGCCCTGGTAGGGGGTTCAAGGACGGAAAACGGTTTTCAGCATTTTAGTTGCAAAATTTTGTGTACAAAAAAACAACATGAAAACTGGTCATTTTATCATGATAATATACATGAAAAAAATTTCGAAGAAATTATAATATACATAATTTTACAATAACATCTGACTGATGAATTAACAGGCAGCACAATCGGAAATATATATAAAAAAATTACAATATGCATTGCTCAGCGTGGATCAGCGTAGGCCTTTATTAAGCAGCACAACCTCTTTAGTATTTTCATATCTATTCCTTTCTGATTGAGGATAATTGATATATACGTCAATTGATAGTACATATTGACGATCGTACATTTAAAAGAAACCTTCACCGTCCCCTGGCTACACAAACACATACACAAACAGTCGATGCCTCGTGCAGAAGTTCTGTTCTGTTCATACTATCGAACAAAATTCAAGAAATTCATATTTCCTTATATCCTGTACTGAAAAATCCCTACCTGCTTAGGAATTTGAATAATTATGGTCATTACACGTAGATCTGATAGTACTCTAAGTTACTGAAAGCTAGTTGATTGATTGATTGATTGCTAAACGTCCAGTGGCAAATAGTTCATGCATGTTCAGGACAAAAAAAAATTACAAAAAATACAACAGGTAGCTAGGTCCTGTAATAGGGGTCGTCCAGGACAAAGGTCTGGAAATTTGGAAACGTCATGCATTGGAAAAATGATGATTTATTGGATAGGAACAGAAATTTTGCCTTTCAGTATACCACCTACGAACCCCTCAAAGAGTTGCTGCAAGTTTCTTAACGTGCAGAGACCGTGACATTCTCTCTACACTAGTCATCGGATTAAACGTCCCCATTCTGACCAGACGTGACTGCGTATTTATACATCCTGCACAGCCAAACGGACGCTCAACTTTAGCAAGGGTTTAATTGTAGGTCGGATGAAGACCAAGTGGAAAGCTAGTTGAAAGCCAACAACAACTACTTCAAAAAAAATCATGCGTCTAAGTTGAGGTTCATTCAAGTATTTGTTGATAGAAGTGAAATGATCTGAACCAAATTTCTAGTCTATAGTTTCTATATAAGGGGGAATATAATGACATAACTCCATTCAATAAGGATGATAGACTAATGTACACATGACATTCGATAATTAAAGAGTTTTGACGACTTCAGTGGCGTGCATCTACATGCAGATAACGTTGTTTATTATTTTTTTTAATAAAAAAAAAACATTTGTGAAAAAGTTATGTGTAGGCACGTGCCTAAAGTGCCTAACGGCAGCTACGCCTCTGCATGATCCAACGGATTTATCGTATAAAGACGTCACCAAAAGTATAGGGAAACACAATCTTATGCAATGCCAAAATATAAGAACATGATATCGGCAGTATGTAGGACTATACGTTTTCATAAAAGTTCAAAGCAATACATTATTATTTAGTTCTGTTTTAATTTATCAAAAATTGACCGTGGCAAAATTAATGTTAGTATCAATATGAACATTACATACATTATCACAATCTTTAAACAAAACCATATATTAAAAAAAGTAAAAAGTTCTCTAGCAATAAAATTTAAAGAAATTTGGGTAGCTAGTTTAGAAAGCAATTCTGGGAAGTGTACCAATTTACAGTACGGCAATAAATTAAGAACTTACAGTAAATTTTAAAATATTTTTATGTTTGAACCATATTTAACAATAAATTCCAAAAAAGACAGGCAAATAATTACAAGATTTAGAACTAGCTGTCATGACCTTGAAATGAACTACATTTTCTTTTAAAATGTCCTGTTCTAAAAGATACAAGATCTCAACATCTGTCTAATTTAAATTCTAAATTCAAAAATTTTTCAAAGTTATCTGATAAAATGTTTGGATTCTTTAATCTGAAGATTTTTTGTTTCTTTAAACTTATCTAAATTATTGCACTCCCTTTTTGAAGAAAGCAAGAAACTCTTAGAAAATATAAATGTAGTTTGAGAAAATAGGAGAAAACAAAATACAATTAAAAACCTTTTGTCGTTCAATCATATGTTTCTTCATAATGATTCAATAAATGTATGATTTCTGCATACTTTTGCCTGAAATAAGGGAGATAATTGCCAACTTCCGGTTCAGAAAATGTCACTTCCGGTCTCATATGATAGCTGTATTAACACTGATTCTAAAAATATATGGTTTATATATACTTTTGCCTGTAAAAAGGGGATAATTGGCTACTTCCGTTTTAGAAAATGTCACTTCCGGTCTCATATGACAGCTTTATTCACACTGATTCCAAAATATATGGTTTATATATACTTTTGCCTGTAAAAAGGGAGATAATTTGCTACTTCCTGTTTATGGAATGTCACTTCCGGTCTCAATTGATAGGTTTATTTATGCCCATTCATAAATATATGGTTTCTAGGTACTTTTCCATAAAATTAGTGCGGATATGACCACTTTCGGTTTACACAAGGTCACTTCCGGTTGACCTTTTTCAAGGTCATATGTCACCCAACATATTGCAAAAGACCTTATGGCTTTATCGTGTACCAATCTGAAGAAATAATCAATTTACCTTAAAATAAAACATTTCAGGGGCAATAACTCCTATTAGATATCATTGGATTGTTTCAGACCAAATATATCATATCTTCATCACAATAAAGCAAACATTTTGCACTATTTCTTTTACATATAACTTTAAAAGTGTCAGAGAAAATGCAAAAACAAGCAAAAGTCAAAATTGAGAACATGACCATCACATTTTACTTTGACCTCATTTTCTAAGTTAGGACCTAAAGACTTCAAATAAAAAAAAAACTCTAGATTTATACGGCTTACAGTTTATGAGTTACAAAAACAAAATGACAAATTAATTTGGTAAAGGTAGATAACTCCTATAAAATTTCACAGGATCGCTTCAATCCAAATTAGCCAAAAATTTCTGAGGATGTAACGAGCAAATAAGAAAAAGAATTTTGTCGATATCTTTTTTGGTTACAGAGGAGATACACTCACAAGAAAAACAGTGTTTGGGGAGATAAATCTTACAATAAAAAAGTCTTCGGCTTAACAAGATAAGTTTTAAAAGTGCAATAACTGTTCGATATAATATCCAAAATATCTAAGCGACATCTTGCGAAACAACTTTATATCGCAAGAAAAGGGTTTGGAAGAAGAAGAAAAAAAAAAAAATAATAATCAGAACAAATACAACAGGTCTTTCCACAGAAAAAAGGAAAGACCTAATAAAATCGATTAGGAGTTGTCTCCCATAGGCCTAGGACTATAAACTGATTCTCCAGGTCACAGTGGCTTCCAAAATAACTTAATGTTTTGTCAATAACATGGTTTATAATTATGTTACTTTGTTTAAATGTGTATTCATGTTTTTTTTTGTTTAAATGTACTTTAATCATTCTAATCATTTAGTGTACTTTATTTTGTAATTCATTTGATTGTAAAGCTCAAATTTTGGGCACCATGATTGGCTAATAAAATTATCTTATCTTTTCTTATCTTATCACAAATAGATGCTTTTAATCATGTTCTTAATGAAACCATTATTAGTTCAATAATATTTTATTGTAAAGAAACTTTAATATAGTAATATGTTAAAATCTTCTTTGAATCCTTGAATAGTGGTCTTCATTTTCGTTTTGGTTAAATATTTCTTTTGGTAATCAGATATTTTAAATGACCCATTTGAAACCTCTTCTTCCTTAGCCCAGATTACATCGAATAGTCTAAACTTTCCGAATGAATTTTGAATCTTGAAAACGTTTAATCTAACTATGATTCTAAATGAAACACTTAAAGACTAAGATTAAATAATATGTTCTTGAAAAACTCCCCAACAACCAACAATTGCTGTCATTACTTTGCCCTTTTTAATCAGAGGATAAGTGACTACGAAACCTCTGGTCATTTCAATGCAAATTTTACTAAACAGTGATGAAAAGTAGGTATGACAAGTATCGACACTAATGTAAGAGACAAGCATAACCGGAGAGCATCATTTTCATAAAAAATTACAAAATCGCTTGTCTGCTCCGGAACTCGAACCCGGGACCTCTGTGTTACAAGGCAGCGCGTTAAACGACTGAGCTAAAGAAGCTTACGGCTGACTAAGTATCTACTAATGAAGGGAAGCAATCCCGTCACACTTCCCCCGCCTCAAGAGTCATCATACCATTATGACTCACACACATACCCTAGGCCTAGCTCGTATTCCTCTCTAACCACCGTGGGTGTTTTAGTTGGGCGCCAAATGTAACTGGAGAGCATGTTTTTTATTACAAAATCACTTGTCTCCACTGGGACCACTGTGTTACAAGGCAGTGCGTTAACCGACTGAGCTAAAGAAGCACTTCCTTTAAGATCAACTGCTTACAACTGACTAAGTATCTACTAATGAAGGGAAGCAATCCCGTCACACAGACATGAACTATTTAGAATAATCCCATTGGCTAAAGTTAGCGGAAAGGATGTGTCTTTGTCAAATGCTTTAATGAGTTAAATTACACAAAGCGCTGGGAGTTTAGAGCTGGCTTTTTAGTGACGATATAAAATCAGAAAAATTATTCACAAAAATTTTAATCCCCACATCTTTTATTTTCTTTTGCATCTTCTCCTGCTTACTTCAAGTTCATGTGGGATCATGTAGCCTACTTCCAAACTTTTTTGAGAAGTCAAATAATATTTGGACTCACTTCTTAGTGACTAGAAGGATTTTAGCGACTAGAAGTGTAAGAAAATAAAATTTAGCGACATGAAGAAAAATTTACCGATAAGAAAATTCATATTTCATTAAAAAATTACATTTATAGAAAAACATTCATTTTTTTTATATGATTATTTGTTGTTTTACAAAGTTTCAAATTTTGTAGCTATTTAAACTTTGCACTGATGTTCTGTTTTTTTTTTTTTTTATAGTATTGAATATAAATGATTCAATAGATTGATTGATTAATTTTTGGTTGCTTAACATCCAGTGGCAAATATTTCATGCATGTTCAGGACGAGAACAAATTAACAATAACTATAATAGGTAGGTCCTGTAATAGAGGCCGTCCAGGATGAAGGTTGGGGGAAATTTGGACTGCCACGGAAAATGAGGGTACATGTATATTGGATAGGGACAGAAATTTAGCCTTGCAACAGGCCAACAGGCCACCTACAGACCCTTCTAAGAGTTGTTGCAAAGGTTCTTAACGTGTAAAGAACATTACACTTTCTTTACACAAGGCATCATATTTAATGTCCCCATTCTGAATGGACGTGGCTGCAAACTTGCACATCCTGCACAGTGATTAGAATTGTTATAAAATATAATAATAAAACATCACACATTTTGAAAGCCATGATAGTTCTGACAGCTACCAGAGACATATAATACATATACTTATTATGAGTTTCTGCTATGCTACATATATTTGTGATATGTATTTCAGCAAACACCATGTTTTACCATTTATATTTTCATATTAATTTTTATCCGCATTTTAGAACATTTATATGTTTATCTGCCGCGTGTAGTAAGTTAAAGGTGTTAATTGGATGTCATTTTCGCAATTAAGCTAGAGACACATGTATTGCAAAAAACAATATTAAGATACATTATCATAATCATATTCTAGAAAATTAATATAAACTAAACAATCCCTATATATATTTTTTGTAACAAATGTTTAATTTCTTCATCTATCAGTATAATGAAATAATGATAATCACTTTAGTTCTACACTACATGTATATATTAAAAAAATCCAACATTTTAATGCCTTTTTTTATATTTTATTCTTATATGAAATGATTAATTGTTAGATTTTTTTACGCTTAATTTGTTTTCTTGTTGCTTCTTGACGCTTCTTGTCACTAATTAGTGAGACCCCAAAATATGTGATACTTAACTTAATATAAATAATCAAATTTGATATTTTTATTTTCAGGTAGATGAAAAAAGAAAAATGGTGGTGCAGCCAATCAAAAAGCGTTTGTCCTGCTGTGATTTTACTAGGTATATCTGAATGGGATTTGTTTGAAAACCTTATTAATACCACACAATGACATAGAAATAAGAAGATGTGGTACGAGTGCCAATGAGACAACTCTCCATCCAAGTCACAATGTGTAAAAAGTAAACAATTATAGGTCAAAGTACGCCCTTCAACACAGAGCCTTGGCTCACACCGAACAGCAAGCTATAAAGGGCCCCAAAATGATGTGTAAAACAATTCAAACAGGAAAACCAACTGTCTAATCTATATAAAAAACGAGAAACACTTAAGAACCACATCAACAATCGACAACCACTGAAACAGGTTCCTGACTGATATTTATACATGTATATATATATGAAACAGGGGGGATACAGGATCATGGCTAGGTATCTTTCAGATACTATATGAGAAAATTAATGATTGCTTACTGTTTTACCATAGCTAATTAATAAATTAATAATCATAATAATAACTGTTGATTGCAAGAATTAAAAAAAAAAACATTGATAATAAACTATGAAAGGCCCAATCTCATACCATGAGAACCTCCACAGAGATAAATGTAAATTAATTATTGGCAATTTATAAACAGTGGATTAATATATTTTTGTGGTTGCAAATTGACTTCTTGTGGGTGCTGGATTTTAACAATGTTTGCAAATAGACAATTTTGATTTTGTTGAATAAATGAATATTCATTCTTTATAACATTTACCAATGAAATGCATGAAAATTAGTACAATATATAGAAATAACAATAAAGAAATGGGTATATATATTAACGCATGGTAAGATTACTGTTGCTTAATTTTTTGTGTTTTTAAATAAGAAAAACAGTGAAGTTTGGATTGATATTTCAGGTTGAAAAATCCTAAAGCTGGAAAAGGACAGGCCTATATTCCAACAGATTATGAACACATTGCTAACATTGTTACACATGGGGTAAGTCCATGTTCCAACAGATTATGAACACATTGCTAACATTGTTACGCATGGGGTAAGTCCATATTCCAACAGACTATTAACACATAGCTAACATTGTTACACATGGGTCAGGTCTATGTTCCAACAGACAGAACACAAAGCTAACATAGTTATACATGGGGGGTAAGTCCTGATATACTATGACTATTAACTGTTAAAATTTTTAAGCATGATGAAAGTTAACATTCCAAACATATTTCAAGGAACGCATTGCTACATATATGTTTATGCTAAGTTTATAATCCAATAGGCTTTATGAACACATTGGCAACATACTACTGTAAATTCAGAAATTATTGCGTGCATTTATTATTGCGATTTTGTCATTTTAGACGAAAATGCGATTTTAATTTTTGCGATATTGAGAAAAATCCTGTTTAATTCATATAAAAAATTTCAAAATGCGAGTTTAAATTAATGCGATTATAACCCTGTCGCATTTTTCGCAATAATAAAAACATCGCAATAATTTCTGAATTTACAGTACATATGAAATATATTTTTCCAGCAGACTTTGATTGCAAAGCTTTCAATCTTACACATGTATACAATATATTCATCACATTGTTACACTGTGGTAATTCTAATTCATGCTATGGGTACCATATTTTTTTCTTTGGATATTAGCGCTAGCATTTCATTACAGATCTCAAGAAAGTCTACCAAAGTTTCCATCTTTTGTATGTATCTTACATCAAGCTATGCTTTATTTTTCAGCTGATGATTGTGCCCAGTATTATTGGCACTTGGTGGATGGTAGGTTTAGCCAAGACAAAGCTACAGACATTTATAGCATGGATTTTTGGATTTGCCTTGATATCATTATTTACTACATCTAGTCTGTTTCATCTTTTTGCATTTATGGGACAGTTCAAGTAAGTAGGATAGAGAATCAAGTGACTCTTTTCACCATAACAATTATGATTGAAATAGATTGTAAATAATACTGAAATGTTCATACTTTACAATATGAAAATAAGGAGATGAGGTATGATTGCCAATGAGACATATATCCACCAAAGTTCAAATAAAGTGGGTGTAAGCAATTATAGGCAACCGTACTGCCTTCAAGTATTTTTCCAAAGATCTTTTACGAATTTAAAAGGTCCATCGGGTTAAAAGCAAATCTCTCAGCGCTCCTGTTTTCTTCATACCTCCCTCGCACGACATATTATAAATAAACAATAGCAAGTGAGAGGTATGGTTTGAATCAGACTGTCAAAAGGTGGATTTGTAAATGATGGTTTTAACAACAAGATGGAATTTTTTTAGTAACCTCTCTGTGTTAGGCTAAGCCATGAGATGATAGATGATTTGAGAAATTAATTTTCTGCAGTATTGAAAAGTACCATTCATTTATTTATCATATACATTTGTATTTGGTTCTTAAAAGATGACTTGATGAAGAACAAAAAAAAAACCTGTGGTACAAATGTCTTATATAGCCAATAACAAGAGTGAATTCACCATACCTCTGCACTATACATTGCTAAAGCCTTCAGTATATATTTAAAACAATTGCAAGAAGTCTTGGTATTAAAAGACTTTGAGGCATCTACATGACTTTTTTGTTAGCTAGGAAAGTGTTGCTAGTTTATTATATAGAAGAAAAAAGTCTGAATAAGGACCCATCGGTAGCAATAAAAATGTATTGTCTTGATTGAACACTGTTTCAGCACTGCACATGCATGTTTTAAAAAAAGGTCTTTTTTTCACTTTTTATCTTTTCAGAACACTTAAATATATATTTCACATAGGAGATAGAGCAGTTATTTATTTGTTTATTGCCTCATCATATACTCCATGGTAAGTTTACAAAAGTACACTTGAACTGTAACAAAAAAAATAATTCTGCCCATTAATTTTTTGCCTGTGAAAAAAAGAAGACATGAAAGGTATGTATTACTTTTGGAAGTATTGTTACTGAATTTTCTTACACAGATATATCTAATAGCTGTTATCCAATGCAGTAGATTTGCAAGACTGGGATCCAGTAGCAATATATGGTACACTAAAGGAATCATGTGGTACAGGAAATTGCACTCATGACCTTTTATTCTTCTTTATTGTTTACTTAGTAGTAAATACAGATAAATTGTATGTGTAGTACAATCATTGGCAAGCATGCTGTATCAGCCATCCGTGATGATATCGATATCAGCACGGTTGCAAAGGCTTTATCACACCTTTAATCTGTATGACGACATGTCATTGATTGCAGTCACTGTTGCAAAGGCTTTATCAAACCCTAATCTGTATGACGTCATGTCAAACCTCTAACTGTATGACGTCATTTCAAATCCCCTTATATGTATGACATCATGTCACATAAAAAACATCTACTTGAGGTATATGTATATAATAAAGTGTATATGATATGTCTTTTTCAATATCGCACACCGTATCTACCCTCAACCAATATAATCCCTCGAGCAGAGTTCCTCGGATTATATTGGTGTGTCGAGTTGATACGGATGTGATATTGAAAAAGCCGTATAATATTCTCTATATATGGAAGTGGTTCCAAGATAAGAGCAGTATTGGGTGTATGGGGAAATTCTGTGATTGTTTGAGGTGTAAATAGTTGCAAACACATGTACTTTTACATTTTGGTTAATCTTTTAATGAATTTCTGGTAGAGGGTGGAATCACACAGAAGACTTTGATTTAATATACTTGTTTTATGATGATCAGTACCTCTTGAGAGGGTCTTAATAACAAAATGACTATTGTATTACAAAAAAAAAAAAAATTGGCAGTTTTGTCTGATATTAGGTTAAGGAAGTGCTGGTATTAAAAGTGTATATTTTATTTATATTTAGGTTAACATTAAGAGAATTTAACGGTATTGGAGATGAAGTGTTAAGTATTGTGTGGACAATGGCGGTAGTTGGAATACTCTATCAATATATATTTCATGAAAAGTAAGTCATGTATTATTTTTAGACCCCTGCTTTAATTATTGCAAACATGAATTTTTTTTATCACACATCACAAATTTTGTTTAGATGCCCATGTTGTATTTTTTACACATAACGTCTAGCTATCAGTGTTCCAGCTTGATCGTTTTTACAGGGCGGTCTCACCCACCCTTTCCCAACTTATGCCCTTTTTAAGACAGCCCACCCTTTTTGGAAGTCCATGCATTTATTGTATTATTTTGATGAAAATACTATAATTCTTCCTGTCTTCATGTTTCTGACAAGTTTATGACCCTCAGCTAATTAACATTTACAGCAGGTGTTATAAGTTGTGATTACAGGTTATTTGCTTATCTCCATCGGATGGGTCACTAATCCGTTAATTAGTAAATCTCTGACTGTTAATGACGTCTTTACACTAAATCCATTGGATGTTGGATGTGTACTGATTGATATTTTAGTCTTAGATACATGATTTTTTTATCAGTTGTTATTGGCTTTGAACTTGTTGTGAGTAACTGCCGTACTCTCAGATCTGTACTTAGTGTCGTTTTTGTTGTTAGGGATGAGGGATGGATAAATACCCTGCCAAGGCTGGTCTATGTTTGTGTTTGATGTTTTTCTGCTTTGTATCCATCTGATGAGTTAAGCCTTTTTCAAATGATTTTTATGGTTTGTTCTTATGTTGTGCTGTAACACCACTGTCCCAGGTTAGGGGGCGGGCTGAGCGCTCACAAACATGTTTAACCCGCAACATTCTTTATGTGCCTGTCCCAAGTCAGGAGACTGACTTTATTTGAACTTTGGCGGATAGTTGTCTCATTGGCAACTTTGGTGGATAGTTGTTTCATTGGCTATGGTACCTCATCTCCTCATTTTTATACTCATAATTGACCACCATAATTATTTTTCCAAGTAAAACCAGTCGGCATTTCAATTTCAATATTTCTCAAATGACCACAATTTGCAGTTCCTTGACCCATTCATGTTTTCGTAGTTTTGTCAATTGAACAAAACTGTTTTTCCCTGGACAGTTCGCATTTCAATTTCAAAATTTCTCAAACGATCACTATTTGCAGCTTGTTTGACGAAGTTTCCTGATATGAACGTCTTTTTGTCACATTTTATATAATCTTTCGACAATTTTGATTAAAAAGATAAAACTTTATTCAAAACGTTAAAAAATATTTTCATGAGTCAAACAGGTGCTTTCTTTATCACGTACTGTGCATGCGTGGAAGTATTCTTATAAATTTAATAGACACTAAAATGTAAAATACGAAATCATTTAGTATCAAATTAATTGAGAGAGACAAATATATTTCTTACTGAGCAACTTAAAGTAAAAAAAGGATAATTTCCTGCCTTTTTGTTAAACAGGAACCAATCAAAGATGAATCCGGATTCATTCTGAATTTATTATCCTCTTGTCACTTCCCGTTTTCATTTCGTTTAAAAATCGAAAGTAAAAGTGATCTATTCTTGATAAATTTGAAATATACTGTCATTATGATCATTCCATGTTGATAAAAATGAATTCCAAATATCGATTTAAACGTTTTTACAGGGATAATGATTATGCAGTGAATTTCATTTATGCTGTGATTCCTGGTTTTAAAAAAGAGGAAATCAACTTTTGTTGATCAGGAATGTCCCCTGAAAATAACTGAATTTTGAAATAAATTTCCGGATCCTTGTTCTAATCTTCATATTTTAGCATCACACCAGTCAAATCATGCAATAACTGCCTACATTTGTAGCTTCCTAAGGCCTTCAAAGACCCTGTAAGGCATATGTATAGCTAGTAATATAAGTCCTTGGTCCTTGCTGTTACCCAAAATAAGGTTGATTTTAAAAGTGACTAAAGCCCTCAAAGTCCTAGCTGAAACCCTGCTGTTTACATAATAAAAGACAATGTTTGACATGCACTTTTTGAATTATCAATCAGCATGCTAAGTGCCCTTTTCATGATTGGCTCCCTGTCCTTTTGAAATCCTAGCTGGAACACTGGCTATATATGATTGAGAAATCATAAATTGTCTTTGTAAACCCAAAGTATTTGTTTATTTGGGAGTGTGAAAAAGTTAACATACTATTTTTCTAAAAATAGCAAAAAATGAAAATAGTACAATGTACTTTAAATGAAATGAAAAATGAATTAATTGTCAGCAATTAAATTGTTCCTTTTTTCTGATAAGGAACACACTGTTTAATTTCTTTTCTCTTTTTCATTTTCAGGTATAAGATACTTGAATTATTGCTGTATTTAATAATTGGTGTCTGTCCTGCTATTGTTGTCTGTTTACAAGTAAGTAATGTATGAATTGTACATTTTCATATCTTTTTATTAAGAACATAGATGAAACAGCTAAAACTCTATAAGGAAGGATCTTATTCATATTCATGTGACAAAGAAGTCCATTTATCAAGCTTTTTAAAGGCACAAAAATCAAGTGTGACTTGTGCACATATGGGTCAATATCCCAATGCGTCTAAAAACTCAAAAATATTGCGTTAACAAAAAATCTCTCTGCAGTGATATTGGACAATTTTCAATTTTTAACAAGTGACTGAGCTTTAACCATTTGTGCTGTTTTGGAGAGCATAAGACCATAGAATAAAGGTGTAAAAATATGGAGTTATTATTAAATGTATGCAAAGAACTAAATTTTCAAAGGACTTATTGAGTGAAAAAAGGGATTTTTTACCTCAAGAAGGCACATCACAAAAGGCTTTTCAGGGTATCCTAAATTACAGAAAACTTTATCTCACTTCATACCCCAAATTTAACCACATATGAAAAAATGTCTCAGCTTTGAAACGAGCCATCATACATGTCCGAAGTTTACAATATGGGCAGAGGAATTTAGGAAAAGGCTACCATTACCGCCTACTGAAATGAATTGCACATCTTTACTCATATGTCAAAGTATTTAAGTTTTTGAATTAGGTTGGATTTTGTTTGTCTTTTGTCATTTTAGTGTGCCAATGATTTTTAAGAAAATTATGTCATTGTTATCTCTCTCTCTAAATGAAATGTAATGATTCCTTGACATGTATTTTAAAAGAACTGAAGTAGAACAAAGTTATATAGAAAGATCAAAAAGATTAGAACTCATTGTATTTAAAAAAGTTGAAGAACTTGAAAAGAGGCTTTGAAAAACTATTAACTCAAAGAAAGACAAACCATTGCTAAAAGAAAAAAAAGTTGAGCATCACTAACCACACAAGATAAATATGGAATATACTGTAAATTCAGAAGTTATTGCGAGGTTTTTATTATTGCGAATAATGCGACTGGGTGATAATCGCAATAGTAAGAACTCGCATTCTGATATCTGATACATATAAGTGTATGTAGATTTTCCCGAAATTGCTATAATAAATCTCAAATTTTTGTCATTTCTTAAAAAATCGCAATAATAAATGCATGCAATAATTTCTGAATTTACAGTAATGTATGCATATTTTGCATCATGGGAAATAGTAGCTTATCTATAAGCATATTCCACATAAATGTGACACAGTATTTAATCCATCAGAATTTACTATTAATGATTAATTATTGGTTGCTTAATGTCTATTGTCAAATAATTCATGCAAATTCTTGACAAGAACAAGCTAAAAACTTATGCATAATCAAGACCTGAAAAGTTTGTACACGACGATAAATGTTGGAATAATTTTAAATGAGCCATTTGAAACCTCTCTTTCTTAGTGTTTTTTTCATGAATAGTTCAAACTTTCTGAATAAAAATTATATATAATCTTAAAAAATCATATATATATATATCCATATTTCTTTTACAGAGACAAGCAGCTGGAATGTTTGAATTAGCCTTAGGTGGAGCTACTTATATATTAGGTGTTGTTTTCTTCAAAATGGATGGCCGGATGCCATTTGCACATGCCATTTGGCATTGTTTTGTTGCTGGTGGTGCCCTCTGGCATTACTATGCTATCTGTACTCACCTGTTAGGCCATGACCATGATGAACTTGCTATGCATTTATGATGAAGGTTTCTTTTAGATACAGATTTATTTAATGTTATGTTGGTTTGTACATTGTATCTCTCAATCATAAGGGTGATTTTTTGTTTTAGTATCTTTTCAACATTGTTGCAATGCTATTTTTTTCCCAACATTTACGTGTTTGTATATTGTCTTTAGCACTTTGTATTGTTATAGTAATCTAAACTGTTATGAAAGTCTGATATTGACCTAACAGAAGAATTTTTTTTGAATGTCAGTAAAAAGGTCTTTCAAGTACAATCATGAGTGGAGAATGCTTTCCTGATTAGTTTATTTGGGGCTTCAGTAGGGTGATCCCCTTAGGTCACAAGGTCATGTCTAAAAATTGTTACATGTCACCAGGTCACTTTTAAGCATATAAAACCATAAAATATAAGGGTTTTGAACATTTCAAAGGTCACAGGTCCTTTTAAATGAGACACCAGGTAGCAAGGTTGGTAACAAACCACCCCAAGATCATAGGTTGGATTTGACCTTGTTTGAGCCACCTTTATGTTCTGTCATACAGGTTAGCATAAATCCACTCATGATCCTGTTAACGTTTTTTAACAATTATATTACATGGCAAGTACAGCAAGACTATGTCACAGATGAAGCATGAATTTGCCATAATGATTTTATTGATCTATTAGTTTATTTGTTAATTGTTTGTGAGGTTTTTTTTTCATGACTAGAATATTTTTAGATAGGAAAAGGATTGTTGAAGCAGGTCTTTGTACTTTTTCCTTTATTGTGATATTTTTGTTGCCAGTATTAGTTTATTTGCTTACCTGGTCCAAAGGATCATTAGAGCAAGTGATTAGTTTTTGTTACATTACATGTCATTGAATATAACTGTAAAGTTGTATACTTATACTCTTTCACACTATGATGTTTAATCCGGGTCGACCCCAATTACTTTATTCCTGTTAAATATAAGTAGTGGTAACCTTGGGCAAAATTGGATTAAAAATGGGGCGAACATGGATTAATTGCCTTGCCTAAATGGAGTTAATGTGAGGTGAAACACCAGAATCAGTTACAAGCCCCCAAAAATGCAGTCTTATGAGAATGAGGAGGACAAGAGCAAGAAACTAGCTATCTCTATATTGGGAGATAGCAAGATACAGGATGCTATGTATTCACAATTATGGAAAGGATATGAATGATGACTAGGATGATTCAGGTTTTGTCTTAACTACTAAGGAGTCCACAAAAGAATTTCAGACTATGAACTAATGCAACTGTTGTTCAAAGAATATAACAACTTCAGTGGACAGATGTGTGTAACAATTTAGCACATGTATACATATATTTTGTTGAGAGGGGGAAAATTCCACATAGCAGTAATTTACAAGTGTGAACCCTTGCAATTAATTCGGGTAAACTATTTTGTATTTGACCCGGAGCATGTTTCATAGTGTGAACAGGGTATTTGCCTTCCTTCCTAAACATTCTAAGAAATTGTTGATTTTATTTTTAAAATCACATTATGAAAGTCATCTGTCAGTGATAGTTATTATTATTTAAAGCTTGATCTCCATACAGTTATTTAGAATTTGATCTCCAATTTTTCATACAATTAGTTAAAGTTTGATCTCCATACAGTCTACATTAATACTAGGTAAGCAAATACAGATTCAAATGAGCCTCTGATATCAAATGTCCAGAGAAAATGACCACATTTTATATGTTTTACTGTGATAATTTTTTTGAGCGTTCTCTCTGTTTATTTTGATAAATATATTATCTGTACCATGACTGTGGGATGATTTTAGTGCAAGTTTAAATTATTGACAGTTGCAGATGACAAAGCAAAAGAGATTTTGCATGGACCAATTGAATTACAAGTATTTGAAATTAACAAAAAAGTATTTGAAGATATGACATCACTTTTGGACTGCTTATTTTGCATTCTTTTTGAAAACAAATTCTCCCATGACAGGGCAACTGTCCAAAAACAATCTGAATTAATACACGTTTAGCATGTAACAAATAACCTTCAAGACTGGTGTAGTTTACCATACTTAGAATCATTGGCTTTGCTATTCTAGGGTACTGTTAGTTGATTATAATGATCATTAAACAATGATCATAAAACATTTTAGATCTACTGATTTGTTGGACTTCTGTCTTTTCTTTTATGATAATGTAATGCTAACATTTATTTGGTTATAAAAATCCATCATAGTCAAAATATATTTTTTAATTTTCTTTGATAAATATTCCAACATCTGGTGTCATTAGATGTAGCAAGAGAGTTTGTGCCATGAGAATGCCATAATATCGATAGTTATGCCATTAAAAGTTTTTGACCAAAGGCAAAAGATGAAAATTCCGATTTTTTTTTGGAATTTCCTTAAAATACATTTTATTGATATTGATAATGATGGGAATTATAATTTACCCATACAAATCTTGTTTAATTTTTTTTAGTTACATCATTTATATGACCATCAAAGTTGTATGTAATTTTTGCAATAGTTTTTGTCAGTCAGACATATATACTATATATTTCTAAACTTTAATAACATGACATAGTTTTACCTTTTGTAAACAAATTATTAGAGATGAATTGAAACCTTTTCCCCAAAAAACATGTTCTGTGAATCATATCTGGATTGATTTTAATAACATTTGTATTATTTTGCTATCTGAAGATTGAAAACTGCAATGATTTATAAAAGTTTTTGTCATGATAAAGGCATAATAATAAGGTAAGTCCTGTGCAATTAAAAACCTGAAAAGTTTAAAGTGTTCAAGTTATAAAGCCAATTTTTTTTCACTGATTGTATTTTGTTTTAGAATTATAATTTATAAAAGTTGGCCATGGTGTTTATTCTCTGCTGTTCTTAATCATATACATTTTACAGTTCATATTGTTTTTTTCCTCTTTTTTTTGAACATTATATTTATGACAATCAAATGACAGTTTTCCTGTGTGTTCGTCTTTTGTTTTTGTAACTTCAAAGTACATTTTTGTAATTATGCATCGAACAAATAATCTTCAAAAATGATTTTTAGTTTCTGATTAGAAGAGTAGCCATGACAAAATGAACAAAATGTATGTGAAAAAAGAAAAAAAACTACTGAAAATTATTCTATATGAGTTTCGTTGTAAACCTCTGTGTTATTTTTAATTTTCAATTCCTTTTTTTATGATACTGAGTCTTTCTTAAAGTCCATAAAGTTCTTTATATTTTGTTCATTTGATGAAGAATCCATCAATAAAATAATCAATATGCTGACAGCTATATCTGTTTGTGGATTCCCTCATTTTTGTTACTGAAAATCAAGCATTTTTGAAATTTTATTAAGAAAAGAGACTGGCACAAGGATTTCGTTCTGAAATCTGTAAATATTCAGATATTCATTCAAAATTTAAAGATAAAAGAAATGATTTTAATTGCTGAATTTTACATAGTAAAAAAAAATCATGAAGCAAACTTTATATTTTAGATAGATTCCAGTTATACTGCATTCTGCAACTGGTTCCACATTCATCTCTTACAACTCTGTACAAATCTTAAGCTAGTAAATTTGAGATTGAGGGAGAAGAAAGGTTCTAAATCTTAATCCAACTCTTCATTCTTTCTCCTCCATTATATAAAATATGGTTCAATCAAACATTATCTATTTCTATCATTAAAACAATTTTTCGTCATTGCAAATAACACCTATTGATGAATTTCTGCTAAATGGCTCAAGTTTTTTTAGGAGGTTATGTATACGTATTTCTCTGAATATTGAAATACTCATATTAAGTTAACAGACAATATTGTAGTCATGTTTTTTTTTTAGATTGAAAGCAATTGAAAAATTAATAAAGTTAGCATATAGTTTTTTTTAGGTTTCTTAATAGTGCTTTTTTACTCATCATAGATTTTTGTTGTGATTGTATAGTATATACAATGTTACTTAAGGTGTTGTTTTTTTAGGACCATGTAGATTATTTATTCCAATGCAACATAGATCAAGATAACTGTTGTAAACTAGTAATTTTGATGCATGTCAAAAGGAGAATATACAATTATCTTAAAGGGGTTAAGGGAGAAAACTCTTTAATTAGTAACTAGTGATGTGTTTTGTCATAGGTCATATTCACCATGTTTTTTAATCATTCATGTGAAACAGAATTATTAATCAATCAGCGTTACTTAGAAGCTTAGAACATGTTTTTTTTTGGAAAATCTAGGTCTACCTCCTTATTTCAGTTGTCATTAAATAGTATCTTATTTGCTGATTATAAAAAAAAATATACAAAAACTAATATTTGACAGACACTTAGTTTGTCCTTACAGAATACCTCTGTCACAAAAGACCACAGATATGTTCCATTTATTGCAGTCACAATCCAATCCTCTTCTCTTTGTTCATGACTAATCACTAGATTTTTTATTGTCATGAGGTAATATTTGAGGGCACTAGTGGCTCAGGAAATGCTGACCATTTTGAGAACTCAGTTCCCCCTGGCATTTGTATGGTTTGTGGTGGTTAATTTTAAATTTTCTGTATATTGTTTTATTGTTTTTGTATTTTATAGTGACCATGGTGTATTTACAAAAAAATGTATACCAAATATTTAGAATAATTTCATTGATATAGATATAATGTAAGTGTACCTAGAATGCATATGTTAACCAAACTACTTATAGAAGAAATTGTCACATGGATGAGATTGTGTACACATATTCATTGCTGGTAATTTCCTGAAAATGATCCAGTTTACAGAATAGGATATCTCATTACCAGAATGTGTAAATTTTTGGACTGGCTTTTTTTGAACATTGACCTCATAACTTTATTCTGAAACTGTTACTTAAGTTGTTTTTGGTGGCACTGAGTTTATGCATAAACTGTAAGGTCTTAATAAGTTTTTTTAGTACACATTGTGTTTTTGTTTCAGTTATTTCATATTGTTTTTCAGTAATTAATGACCTTGGGGTCTTTTCAATTATTTTGATAGAGTGTATTTGATATACATGTACAGACCTGATATAATATTTGAAATTTTGCCTTAAACAGCCTTTTATACAAGTGCTTACATTCTTTTGCCAATTGCTTGTAAAAAAGTCTAGCAAGTAGAAAATGTTTTATGAAAAATATTTGTATGGATTCAATTTATTTACATTATATATTCAATTATTTGAATATAATTTTTATAAAAATAAAAAAATCACCTATAGTGAAAAGTATTACATGTTGTACATGTATTTACTTAACATGCTTAAAATTTGAAATTGCCCAAATATATTTTGTAGTCAAAAACTTATGTTTATTTTCAATTACTACAATGATTAATAGTAAATGATAAAATTTTTAAGTCATTTCAATATTATAATATTGGTGCTTACTTAATGATTTTTGTAAAACTACCTTCATTAAATGGATAGTATGAATCTGTAAAAGGAGCAGGGCCATGAAGGCCTCAATTTGGCCCTAAAAATGTACCTCACAAGATATTATCTATAAATCAATGTTTACAATCTAATATATGCATATTTAGATCAACTAGATGTTTTTCTCTCTACTGTTTGTTTTTGACAAGTTTCGCAATTTCAAAGGTATGATATTTTACAAGTTTTGAACCATTTTTTCAGTTTTACTGCAATTTTAAGGTCTATTTCCCTTTTAAAACACATTGGCCACACCCTTCTACCAAATTTGTTATAAACCAATGTATATGGGTGAGAAACCCTTCCAAACAAAAAAAATATGGTGGATCCATGAATATGGTCAATGTTGTCCGAAGCAAAAACTCAAAATTTAGTAAAAAAAATAGGCAAAATTATGATTTTCATTGTTAGAGTTCACAATTATGACATCATGTATGACATCATTACTGTTGTAATATGTCAGAGCTAATTTAATTTGCAATTGTCAGATGTTTACTTTAACTGCTGATATAAAATTTCATGGGCCAGTATTGAACCTACTCCTTTGAATTTCATATTAAAATTTAAGGATAATGGTCAAATGTGATCAAATGTGTGCAGAGTAATAAGTGATCTTGTTTCATCTTTGGATGTTGAATGCCCTACCTCAGCATCATTGATAAAATAATATATATAATGGCCAGTAACTGTATATCAATTAACTGTAATCCCACAAGGTAGCAGTCACTTCTCTCATGTTGGTAGAATGTAGCTTTGAAGGTTAGCAGATCTAGATATTCATATGTTATGTTTCTTTTTTATGAAAAGGTGACAGTTTTTGGCTCATATTTAGCACTGTATATTACAGTGGACCAATCTGATTAAAATCTGATCTTCCACTCTACTCAGTTAGATTTTTCTGTCTCTCGTGTAAGATCTGTAGACATCCAATAAGGGGTCATGTTCAGTAACCTTTTAAGACAATACACTTAGGTAATGTACATGTTTTCATGATTTAGTAAAAAAAAATATTCTATTACCTGCCATTCATTAAAATGAAATGAAAAATATCGAAGTTTTCTCTAGAACTACTGTTTCATAAATTAATGAACATGTCTTTTCTTAACTATTGATTGGTTCAAATATTGTTTTCCTGATTATGATTTTTAGATGTAGATTTCGTCATACATGTTATAACTGCAATTTTTATAACTGTTATTTATTTATAAACTTGTCTCAGTGCTCTTTTTTTACAATGTAGATTTCCATATATATTTGTCAATAAAAATTCTTGTATGTTTTAAAGAATATTCTTATTTTAATACTTATTTTCCTTGACACACAATTTCTGAATAACAAAGTTATGGCCCAATATCAAAGGTCATGATTACCTTCATTTAGAGCCCTACAATAATTTATGCTGTTTGTGATTCTAATACCAACTTAGTATGAAAAGGATTGATTGATGATTTCTGTATTATTGTTCACAGTTAATAGAAAATTGTGTCTGCATGGAGTTAATTGAAGGGGTTGAAATGAACAGATTGAATCTCTTTTTTTTTTTTTCTTTTTTTTTTTTCTTTTTTTGGAAAATTGAATCTCTACATTAAAGATCTAGGACATTCACTAACAAAATCTATTTTTTTTTTATTGTTTTGTGATTCTGCTACAATGTAGTAATTCGATGAAATTAGCAACAACTATGCCACACACAAAGGGCTTTGCTTCAAGTCAAAAGACATATATGCATAAGAGAGCAAAATAGATTTAGGTGAAACTGCAATTTTAATCTAAACTAGACTGACCAAGAATTTATTCAGTCATGAATAGTTTTTCAATACAAATTAAGACATGTTTAATGCATCAAACTGAATAAGTATGTTCAGATATTTTGTTTGCAGTCAACTAAGTTTTGTTCAGTTTATTTTCAGAGCATAAGTTGCAATAACCTAACTTTGATTAACCATACATGCTACATCTTCTTGAAAAGTGACAAAACTGCAGTGGATTGACTGCAAGCAAAATCTATGAACAGTACTGAATTTACTGCAAGAATATACCTGACAATTCTACTTAAGATGTTCAGATGTTTCTGATCTCGATGAGATAACATATGGGTTGATCTATTCATAAATAAATAAAACGGGGTATTTCTGTCTTAAATATAATAAATGATGTAAATGTGACGCTATAAACATGTTAGATTGACACACTTGACCTAGATGAATATAGACCTAAAAATAGAATATGAGCAGCAGTCTTTAGTAAATGGATTTCATACTGAAACGACCAATTTGAAATGAACATGTGGATGTCAAAATTCAACTAAGATCCTTAACTTATAATTTAGTATACCAGACATGCGTTTCGTCTACTTAGGAGGCAATGGTGGCGCTTCGATAAAAACAATTGCAAGGTCATATCTTAGACTATTATCCAGTTTAACAGTTTAACCGTTCCAGGTCATAGCAAAAATGAAATTGAACATAAAATACCAAAAATTCCGAAAAAGATTTGCCAAATCTGGCTGAAAGGTAATTTATTCCAGTGCGTAGAAAATTAAGTATTTGAAGTGAGTTACGTTTTATGAGCAGTGAATTAACAGTGAACGACCAAATGAATGATATTTTCTGTCACATCAGAACTCTGACTACTTGGCTCGGGGACGAACGTCTGCCAGCAGTGGCACCGACTCATTAGCCGTAAAATCTTCAAAAATTATCCAGCCTATAAAAAAACCTCATCTAAGATACCAGCCTTATAATAATGTACGCTAAACGCGGGTTTCATCCATATAAAACTTATCAGTAGCGATGGGATCATTGCAGTTGCCAATTGAAAATTACCAAAACGAAAACACTGTGCTGAATCTAAATATGGCCATCTATATCTGTTGGTTGAAAAAGTTTAGTGATATTAAAATATGTTATTTTAACACCTTAAACCTGTGTTGTTTATATTGAAGGTATATTAATTGGCATAGAATTAAAAATCATGGCAATTTTACGAAACCTTGGAAGAGGATTAACTAATTATTTATTAGTATACCACTTTTAGCTTTTAAAGGGACATTAGCTGTCAAATTCATGTTCACCGATTAGACTCAAATTCTCATATTTGATTTATAACACACTAAAACGTATATCAAAATTATAAAAAGTCTAAAATAAACAATTTACACTGCATGGGCTCGATAATATGTGTCAGCATTTCGTGTGTATTTTAGTCTAGACACCATCTAACTATCGAGGTGACATCCGAAGACTGCCGACGGTGATATAACCCGATATAAATATAGATATAGATAGATAGCGAACTCGTGCAATTGGATTTTTCTAGGTCTGTTTGATTTATAATATAGGTTAACAATATACGTTAATCATCGTTTTTACCTGTATAAGAATGCGTTTTTGTGGATCGAATCATTCAATCAAATGGTTTACCCTTGTTTCACTTCAATGTTGACATTCTCCTTTTAATAACTAAACACGCCTAGTTCATGCGTAACCCATCTCTAGCTAAGAGGTTAAATTGAAGGTCACATGAATACGGATTCAATGAGGTCGAATTATTCAGAAGTGAATAATTCAGCAGCGATGTTTCTTAGCTTATTTTGACAACATTGAACCAAACTGACTACTAAAAGCGAATTATTATTTCACCATTTCTCTTTCATTAATGATCGACCCAAAAAATTTTAATTTGTTTTATATCTCGTAGCTAACCTTCCCGATGACGATTAGCTTAAATAGTGCTCCGAAACTGATTTCTTATTAGGAAACATCTTTATATTTTTTTTCGAGATTTTAAACATAAACCAATCATTTTTCCCTGTTAGTAGACGATCCTTTTTGGTTTGGAAGACCAGATCTGTGTTGAATGATTGCTGTCTTATTGGAGTATACCTCATATCTTTTATTTTTCTTAGGGAAAATGACACACATTTATCGAATGGGATTATACTAGGACTTACTTAAGGTAGGTCAAAAAGTTGAAACCACAGTTAAATATGGTAAAATGGTAATTATTTTTTATTTTTGCATTCTATTGGAAGAAACCGTTTTTAATTTTGCACTATCTGAGTATATTCTTCAATTAATTGATTGCTTGTTGTTTGCTTTACGTTTAGAGGCAAATATTTCATGTGATTGCCTGAAACTTATATAAAGAGAAGACATTGTGTTGATCTACATGTACATATACAAGTAAAATTCAAATGATCAAAAGTACTCAGTTCCGTTGTATCCGGGTGATTTTTAAACTAATCGGAATGTAAAATGATTAAGATGTATTTGTTTGATGAGTCCACACACACCTTTCAAGTGATAAAAAAAAAACAAAAACCTAAATGAGTAGATGCATTAAAATAATTGTTAATAAAAGCATTTTTTTGATAATAATGATAAAACAAGTATTTAAGACATTATAAGTGATAACAATGAACGGACCATCGTACATATTTGAACCCTCGTCTTACAATAATTATCGTCATTGACGGGCTGACCCAATATCTTATCAGTTGTTTGTAATTGTGTTATGGGTTTCATTAATTTTGGGATCTTTCTTTGTTGTATCTTCTCTATCAATTGTAAGTTGCCTTAAACACGTTTTGATTTACATCATGAAACTTATAAGTTACATATCATATTATTGTGGTATGAATATGAATTATGTTTTGTACTAGACCAGGACACTAATCTGATTTTTGCACATGTTCATAAGGTAACAGTCCGCAGGAAGACAAAACCTTCAAGAGCACATTCTCATCTTCCCCTTTCTAAGCCACAACATGACTTCTGTCCCATCGTATGGCGGTTACATATCTCAATTGATATGTTGCGCTCGTACATGTGGACACTGTATAGACTTCATTTGCTCTAACAGAGTAATGAGGAAGAATTACAGAAATCGACACTACTTTTAGCTTTACGGTCATCATCACGAACTCTCTAGCAACATGTTTTCACGAATTTAGATCTTTAAATGCCAGAAAAGTCGTCTTATTTGTAATTTTACCGATAGTTTCCTATTCCGATTGTGACATTTTGACTGAGTGTGGATTCGCATGGCGGTTGGTACATGTAAAACAGGAGACGCTAACCCTGTGGAAACACCCAGTCTCTCGCTCCTGTTAGAGTTCATGTTTCATCAGATATTGTTTTTTTTCTTCGGCATGTATCTTTCTAATCGATTTATGAGATTTGAACATCGGTAGAATACTGTTTCTAGATAGACAACAATCAGCTCAAAATCTTACCCTTTGAAAGTGTGTCTCTGTGTGTTTTTGTTATTCATTTTTCCTGTATAATACATTAAAATACAAGTAATGTTCATGTGAAGTTTAGCAGTTGTTTGCAATTTGTTTTAAATAATTTTGTCAGATGGAGGACTTAAAGTAAAAAATCAAATACGTTTTTCAGTTTCTTAATAAAACTTCATTATTAAATTCAATTCTGTAATTTTTGTTGTTATTATCGACAACCATTTTATGTCTTTGCAATCCAGCTATAATTAAAAACAAATTATGATGGTGATGGAAAGCAAAATGTTTGTCAGCAGTACAAAATAAAGAATTGTTATTTTGATTGTAAAACACCGCATTTAGCATGTGACATGTTGTAAATCACAAACATGTCTATTCATTTAAACCGTTGTATTACCACGAAATAAAGCAATTAATCAAAAATAAACTTAACTAAAGATCAAGTATACATGCTATGATTTCAAGAGATAGCAACTGTATCGGCACACTGAATTACTCAATGTAGTACAGTTGTGTACCATAAACCTTTTTCTAAACTGATTGTCTTCAGAATAAGTTAAATCGGGCTCAAAAAAGAGTAGTGACGCAGTCTTTTCCAGTGTAAACAAGACTCTAAATAAATCGTCTTGTTATAGTATTTTCTGAATACATTTATTAAAACTTTTGACTTGTCAACACTTAACAAGTCCCTTCATCATGTTTAATTGAAAAGCAGTGCTATTTCATGTCTTCACAGAAGTGCTGATAACTGTGTTGGAGGTAACGAAACGTCTTCTGCATCATCGGCATCAACCCAGTTGTTTTAAAATATGATTAATTGATCAATTGAAGGAAAAATATGGTTCAATAATTCTCATATATTTTGTTTTCTATTTAGGGTTCCTAGACGATGCTTATGCATAGATTAAATAATAAACAAATAATTATAGAATAACTAATCGAAGAATTCAAACAGAGAAAAATATTCAACGAGTGACCAAACAACATATTAATTCACGAATGCGCGTACCGCATGAGTTAATTATCAGTGTTGTCTTTTTCTACGCATTCACAATTTGTTTTGATCTGACGTTATCGACGTTTATTTCACATGTGAAATTATCGGTTCTTATTTCACTGGGAAATCAATGTAATTCATTGCAACCAATGTAATAATAAAGGATAATGAAAAATAATTTATATATAATCACATTTTATCATTGGCCATGTCATTTTTGGTACATGAAGATTTCATTGCAATGAAATTAACTTAAATGATGCAAATCCCTTAGTGAGATGAATTTTTAGTTTTGGCTGCTCTAGTTCTCCTCAATTCTTTATGTATAAAGTATCCCCAAATTTTGTTTCCCTTATTTGTTCCCATTGAGATTTAATTGATTTATGATCCCAACTTATTCGCACGTGAAATGTTTTTCTTGTTGTGTTTTTGACGCGTAGATTGTTCAAATATTAGAGATGGGCATATTATCACTATCTATCACGAAATTGAACAAAGTTTGAAGATTTCAGGCGGCTGTTTCAAATTTCTATGTAGTTTGTGATCACATCTTTTCATGCTTTTTGCAACCTAGAACTTTTTTGTATTTCAGATTATTTGTACACAAATCAAAGAGTTGTATATCATATCTGTTTTGTTGTCGTCGTTATGACAATTTGTATGCTTTTCACAGAAGTACACATGGTTGAAATTGGTTAAAGAAATAAAAATCGAACAAAATATTTATCAAATATGATAAAAGAGGGACGAAAGATACCAGAGGGACAGTCAAACTCATAGATCGAAAACAAACTGACAACGCCATGGCCAAAAATAAAAAGACAAACAGACAAATAATAGTACAGATGACACAACATAGATAAATGATATTCATATATCAAAATTGATTCCAAAAGAAACATCTTGAATATAAAACAGTCCAAAACAGCCAAGTCCTTTATCATATGTCATAACGCGAATAAAAGTTTCTGTGAGTTTTAACCCTGAATGATAATCTTTTAATAGAAATAAGATTCAATCTTAAACAGGTTCCAAATATAAAATTAAGAACATGAGTTATGATTGCCAACCCTCCATCATTTACCAAATCAAGTAGAAGTTAGCATCTATAGGTCACCGTACTTAAGTTCAAAGAAATCTTATTATCTTACCTCCTATACATTTCTAGGAATATCATTAGTTAAAAGCGACCGCGTTGAGACCCTGTATATTTGATATGGGGTTAGTAGGCGTGGTTTGTTTTAATATACGGTTAGCAGTGATGTTACGTCCCTTTATAAAAACAACACGGCGTGGATGAAAAATCTGAAACGTTTCACCCGGACAACAGATGAAGAAATTGATGATGAACGATTGAAATAAATACAGAAAACACATTAAAAGCTAACACATTGTTATTGATGGCATTTGTTTTTGTGTAGAACAATGGAATTAGGTTATTTATATTAAAGACTTGATCCCTTTGATAGGCCACTAGTCTAAATGCCACATGTTAAGATAGTCGGTAAAAATAAATTCGTTACACAGTGTACTAGTGACCTAATACGGTATATATGGTATATGGTATCATCGACAACTGCGGTCAATACTGAATTCTCCATATAACAAACATAAAACCCATTAAGATATGACATACGACAACTATTGGCGTCGTTTCTGAAATTGGACAGCCACACGCATATGTGGTGAGGCAAAGTTCAAAACCATCCCCTTTTAATCTAGTTCAGTGGACTACAAGCATAAGCAAACAAAAGCATAGCAAAACACGAAAAAGGACCAAAAGACAAACCAGTCGTCCAAAGGACATCATATAGAAAACGAAAGAATGAGCAACACGAAACCCACCAAAACAAGGAGTTATCTTAGGTTCACAAAGAAAAATAAGCATATCCTGCTCCATAATGTGGCACTTGTCTTGTAGTACATATTAAGTACAAATTTAGTGATAAATCTCAATCGGTCATTTAAGCTTTATTAGCGAAATTTAAAACATCTTACAGTCTTAAACGTTTTCATTATTTCTTTTATTTAGGCTGTAAAGATGGATGGACACAATTTGGAAATAAGTGTTACTTCTTTAGTCGACAAGCTGAATCATGGATTGACGCAATTGTAAGTAGTACTGTTCTGACCAGATTTCCCAATTATTTTTGTATTTAGTAATCCAAAACTTTTTGAATAAAGTATATCCTTAAAGTGGGTTGAAATTAAACACATTATTTCATATAAAAAGCAGCCAACTAGAATTTGGATAATTCAGAATTAATTAGAATTTTTATCGTCTGTAATATTTGTAACGATCTCCGATTTTTTACTCTTCATTCAATGTATGAAAGTGATTTGTACGTCTACAAGAAGTTTGTTACATTTTCAATAATTAAAATAATCACCAAAAATAACGTGTACTTTCACTTTGTACGTGAGGGAGTTGATATTTACAGAAGAGACTAGAAGAGTCCTATCCAATGTGAAATGAAATAAATGAAAAAAGTTTAAAATCCAGTTGACAATACATGATACTCAACACCTAACGGGCACCCTACTCCATGAAAACATGATTCATGTTCATTTCTAACGATATTCCAGGATCTCGCAGGTGAAAAGAACCAAACTTGAATATATGAAGAATATAAGGAGGGGATCCCTATTGTTGTTTAGATTTAAGAATCCAAACAGACCAAACTACAAATTGAATGACATTATAGTATCTACCACAGGAATAAAGATATTTCATTTTATTATAAGACAATATTACTGTCTGAAATTTTAACAGAAAAAAATCAAACCTAACAGTAAAGAGAAAAAAAAAGCTAGTACATGACTCTAAGCTGTACACATGCTTAGGGGAGGCATAGAGTACACGAGCTTTCTCCCTATAGGTTCTTCAGTTTTAATAAGAATTTCACTCTGTAGGAGACCAAGAATACGCCAAAAGTTATATGTAATAGAAAAACTAAGGATATGGGGTATCCATCCGTGACACAAAATCAGTACATGCACAGAAAAAACACACAAAAAGCAAAGGAACAGAAAGCAGAAGTGTAAGACGGCCCCTAGCACCTTGTGCATTCCTTAAATCAATTATATCGATTTTTTTCAGTCCTTTTGTCGTGTGTTTGATTCAAAACTAGCTGAGCCATTGACTTCAGAGGAATCACATTATTTAATAAGTCACAGCCAGCATATTGGTATGTATTTTCTAAGATTACACTCAACAAATAATGTATCCCATCTTCGATGAATGCCTGCATGATATAATTATTATTGAATGAACAAATAAGATTATAGTATATATATATAAAGAATAAGGCGTCTGCGCAATGCTAGATGTTGTTGCCATAGAAGTTTAAAGAAAAACACAGGTTTCAGCCGGGGTTGGGGAGGAAGTAAGGAATCAGATCCACTGTTATATTGATAGGTTGATTTTCTAGGCACTTTATTTTATATACTAATACATTATATGTTAAACTTTGTCATCTGGTATTATTTTCTTACAATGCCTTTGTTATTTTAATTTCTGATAGAAAGATATTGAAAGTACTTGTTCATGATAACAGTCTTTTTACTGACGCAAAATTCAACCATATAGATGATAGAAAATAGTATGCTGTCTAATCCCGGTATCTTAAGTCCATTGTTTAATTTCTTTAATTTTCAATTTGCAATTAGCCACGATTCCAATATAAAAAAATCCCATCATGCCAACCAGTTTATTCTAACGAAGGGTTTTTTTTATTGAAAGAGGCTCATTTATGTGCTTGTCTATTGATTCACTTTCTATTGTTTTTATTTTCATAAATATATAATTCTGTGCATGTGAACTTTTTTGTTACATAAAAATTGGAGGATCCAGGTAAAATTAGTTAAAAGTAGTTTTAGAAAATATCAAAATACATCTTTGCAGGAGGAAATTTTTGGATTGGCATATCAGACGTAATCGTTGAAGACAGATGGATATACTCAACCGGACAAACACCGATTACAGTTAATAATTTTCAACCGGGACAACCTAATGGACATACTTCCCAAAACTGTGTGGCATTGTGGGCTTCTTTCCATGGATACTGGGCAGATGAGAACTGTCTTACCAGATATCCGTTTATTTGTGAGACAGATATTGAGTATGGTTCTTTAAAAAAGAAAACTAATTGTCAAAAAGAATTCAAACAAAGCGTGGAGGTTTTTTATTTCCACACAGCAAAATAAATTAAGACTCCATTCTACGTTTGATATGGTTCGTTCGTTGTTGAGGACCCTGCGTCGGCTGTCAAGATGGGGAACGGGAGGGAAGGCCCTATTCATTGGCAGTTTTCTATGTTTTCTGTGTGTTGTGTGCGATTTTGTCCCATGTGCATTTGCTCCATATCCTTTCATTTTCTACTAACTGATAAACATGGATGACCTGTAGAAAAGGTGAATATCCAAAATTGTCAACCCGTTTAAAAAAGTATTCCCTAAGAAATGTCAAAACGCTGATGTCAAAGACTTGTAACTTTGTTCATAGGAGGCAGACTTTATATTGGCGCTCCAGAGGAAGATTAAAATAAATTCGCATTATCCTTTATATTCTCAATCCGCTATACAGATAATGTCCTCTCACTAGACGATTCAACGTTTGTTGACTATGATGAACTTGAAATACAGGATACAATAGATACAGTTAAGTCTGCCTCATATCTTGACTTCCATCTAGAAATTGACAATAACGGTCGGTTAAGAACTAAACTTTACGACAAAAGAGATTATTTCAGTGCCTGCATATGGAGTCAAAAATGTAAACAACACGTTATTAATTTCATGCGTCCGAGAGTAAATATCACCCAGTTAAAACGATATTCCAGAGCTTGCATTTACTACCATGCTTTCATTAACAGAGGATAACTACTAACAAGGAAGCTATTAAACCAAAGGTTTCAAGTGGTGAGGTTGAAGTCACTCCTTCGAAAATTTTACGAACACCATAACGAGTTGGTTGACCGTTGTAAAAAAAATGTTTTACAGATGACGAAGAATATGTTTAAATTGTCGCAACCACAATCCCGTCCTCTCTTCAACAAATATGAGATCCCCAAATAAGATACCTAATCAATTAATAAAACTTGTCAACATATTTTATAGGAGTAAAACGACGGGTGTCACATATGGAGCAGGATCTGATTACCCTTCCGCAGCGTAGCACTTGAGATCAACCTCGTTTTTTGATGGGATTTGTGTTGCTCAGTCTTTTGTTTTCTGTGTTGTGTTATGTACATTGTTGTCTTTTCGTCGTTTGGTATCTTCCGCCACTCTTCTTTTAATTCAAGATATGATTGGCCCTTTTCCTGATTACTATCTTCTGATTGATTTTAATTCTGAATAAGCAATCTAAAATTATTGATGAAATTTAATTGTCTCTACATCCTTGATTGGCAATTTCCACAAAATCATCCATACATATTGTAGCGTGTTTTTTATATTTAAAAAACGTAATTTTTGAGAAACAAAAATGGGTTGTTTTTTTGTTTCTTCATCATATATCAGAAGTATTGAAGTAAAGCGTTATATATATATATATATATGTTCCGGACCATATGAATATTTGGACCATACGCGTATGGTCCGGGTAATTAATACGATGAACGTTGAACAGTAATTGATTAAGGCATATGATAACTCTTCAAGGTGTCATCAATTTAGAGTTTCTAAAAATGAAATTTTAAATTAGAAAATAATTTGGTAATTATTGTAACGTGATGAATGAAATAAGATAAAATTTAGTCACAAGTAAAAAATTTTGCATGATCATTATTAATTTTTCTTTACGAAACACAATATGTCGAATCCGAAAATAACTAAATGGACTGTTTTAAAAGCAAGAAATCAACTGTTTTACTCATTACCAATTGGAGCATTCAAGCCTCCTTTTTCTCTATTTTGGTGTTTCAATTTGTTTTTTGTAAATTAAAATTTCTTAAACATTTCAAATTATTTTTAGTTATTTTAAACTTTGTTCATGCTCCTCTTTATACGATTTACAATTACAGTAATTTATACGTGCAGACCTCTATTCTTATCAACGTTTTCGGTCCTTATACATCCTTTGCTTTCAAATATTCGGCTTTGAGCGTTCCTGATGAAGGTAAATCCAGAAAAGCGCTCGGTCGCAAGAAATTTATAACGTGTTGTTTTCATATTTTATATAGAAACCACAGTTATTGTTAGATCGTATGAATACGAGTACGAACACATCAGTTAAATGAAAATAAGTGGAAATTAGAAGAAATCAAAGAAAATCTAATCTAAACGCGAAGGGAAAAAGAAAAAAATTGTCCATGCCCCAAACACCTGTGATTTCAAGTACCGAAGAAACTGTCGACAGGATAAAGGTGCTTAAAATTGACTAGATAGCGAAGGCAAGACAACAAATATACCAAGATTCAGACAATATGTAACAAAGATAAAGGATTTCAGTTAATAAATTTTGCCGATTTTAGTTCAGAGAACGAGCTATGTCTGTTTTGGAAGTTTGAATTTATTCGAAAAATATCTATATGGTCTAAATACTCATATGGTCCGGCCCGTTAATAACCAAACGAGTATATACTCATATGGTCATGACCATACACGTACGGTTCATATACTCATATGGTCCGGAACATATATATATAATGCGACACATAAGTTCTGCATTTCCAAACCAAATTTTAATCACGTTACTAATTTTTTCAAATCTATGATATCAAGCACACAACTTTAATGTACTTTCATTGACAATACTGCTGCAGTCTACGACTAATCAAGTTATCAAATTGAATGAGCATACCTAAATGAAGATTTTTTTTCTTTTTATAGGTCTACAGAGTCACAGATTGTTGGTTGAACACTGCTGTAATATGAAAAAGCAGATATATAAATCAAACTATGTCTGTACTTTCGCAGTATTCATTGTTTTTTTTTATCTCTCAATTTAATATCTTACTTTTACTAAAGATAAATTCACTATTTTAAGAGGCCCAAAACACTTCCGTTATCGACACAAATTCTGCAGACTGGTGGCAATAATTAAAGACATTGCTGATCACAGCATATTCAAAACCGTTATAACTACATCCGAAGATGACAAAAAAGTATGTTGTTTCAAAGAAGAATTGGTTAATAAGGTTTTGGATGCAAGCAATACATTCATCAGGAACGCTCAAAGCGGAAGTTTTGAAAGCCAAGGATGAAGAAAATCGAAACAGTTGAAGAGCTATATAACTAAAAAGGACCTAAACATAGCCAAATTCATCTAAGGCCAACTTTATCTGAGGGAGTTGAAACCTTAGTTTCTTTATAATTTCAAAATTTATAAACGAACAATTTTAGAAAGGTTTGTTATAAATCATGTCAGTACCGAAGTAGACGACTAAGCTGATGATACCCTCGTGGACTGATAGTCCACCAGCAGAGGTATCGACCCAGTGATGTTAAAAATGAAAACAACACGTCAAATGTATATTACGGCTAGTCGTACACTTATATATTACAAGTTATTAGTTTGAAACATTTACCAAATTCGTATACTCAAAGGGAAATAAATCTAATTCCATTATTTAACAATTGGTCAAAATAGAGGATTACAGCACCCTTATTTCTGAGAGAAGGATGAGAATGTCATGAGGCAAGTATATACGTAGGACTTTTATTGAGGAACACATTGCTTCATACGCCTTAATCAGAAAGTGATTACATTTGAAACTTGCACAAACAGTTTTTAGAATAATTTCCGTTCAGTGTCATGATAACTTTAGAAGACTCGCTAAGCCGTAGAGCTTGATGTATTGCATCAACACTTGTATATTGTTGACTGTGTGTTGACCTCAAAATAATTCCTACAGATTTCTTTCAAATGTCCCTCCAACTCCTGTTTAAAGTATAAGTTAACGTACACGAACTAAATGTTTTTATTACAAGAATCATTGTGGAGAAATGGAAAAATTGAAAGACCGACCTTTTTTTGTATAAAAATGGTAACCAGGTATAATTCAAAATATTCTTTAGAAAACATGAAAATGTCTGTAACAAATAGTCCCTTACGCCCTCATACATATCTCTTCCGTTTTTGTATTTCGAACTGTTTTAGTCAGCGATCTTCATATTAATTAATTTTAGTGGAAACCTGATGAAATTAAGTGCACAAATGACTGACATACTTGATATTTTACATACTTTTTGGTTGATCGTTAAGGAATATAGGTATAACATATAACGTTACTAGGGATATGTTCTAACTGTCTTCTCCGTCATCTTTTGAACGGCTGTGACATTGCCAATGAGACTCATCAGCGATTTCATACTAACCATGAGCAACATGACGTCCAGTCAAAACATGTTATGTTTTACATAATTATCAACTCTGCTTTGTTCTAATGGATACGCTTAGATGTGCCTTTTTACGTATTCAAAAGGTTACATTCCTCAGGAAGACATGTCAACTATATAAACAATTTGTTGTGACTCCGATACTTATAGTTATCAAAGGTACCAGGATTATAATTTAATGCGCCAGACGCGCGTTTCGTCTACATAAGACTCATCAGTGACGCTCAGATCAAAAAAGTTATACAGCCAAACAAGTACAAAGTTGAAGAGCATTGAGGACCCAAAATTTCAATTTAAACATAGCGGAGAAGCAGCAAATACATGTACCAATTTTCAATTCCTTGGTTTTCTCAAGCCATGGGTCGAATCACAATCTCTAGAACTCGAGGTAAACACGAGACAAGCGATGCAGTTTGTGCAGGATACAAAAAATACAGTTACACGTTATATATATATTAAAATATTGGTGTAATCACTGACTCATTAAAATATTAAAAATAATGTATAATAGACCATTTAGGTAGACATGGAAATTTTGACATGTTATGACGTCTAATGTGGCATTTGTCACTAAATTAAGAGAAGAACTATGAATGAATGAAACTAAAAGGAGTTGTCGTACATAAAGTTGCTTATTTATATATGTTGGTTGTGGATTTTGTATGCTTTACGCCATAACAATAACTGCTGTAACATAAGTATCATCAAATTTGTCGATTGATTTGTTTTCTTCTTCTCTAGGTTGAATGAATGGATGGACACAATTTGAAAACAAATGCTATGCTATTTGTTCAGTCGGCAGGTGGAATCATGGATTGAAGCATCGGTTAGTGGATTGCAGGATTGTTTGCTGCTTATATAATTTCAATTATTTATCTTTTTATTCAATTATTGTTCATCTTCATTTCAAATCTCGTGTTTTTAGCCTAACTTGGCGATAACGAATGGTACAATTATTTACTTAATAACCAATACAAAACTGATATTATGGGGGTGAAAAGGTAACTTCTGCTGACTGCTATTCGCCATTTATTCAATTATTTAAAAAAAAAATCCAATATAATCATTGAACAAACTGTCTTAAGATCATGGCAATTCTTACACATATAACAACAATGAAGTTACCATTGTTCAGAATGTCTAAAACGACCCAGAATTCTTTAAGCAATTGATTTTAAACAAAGCGTTATGCTCGTAACTACTGAATCAAGGCATTTATTTTCCTATGGAATAAGACTTTTACAATATGACCCTATTTATCTGTTTATAAACCTAATCCCTTATCTAACGGACTATATGATTTATCAACTATAAATGCACTACAAATACCCTGACATTGAATCTTTTAAAGATAGATATATGGATTCGAGGGTCACAAAAATAAACCCCGAAAAAATCACTTAACTATCTTATGATATAAAATTTTACAGGAGTATATTATAAGTTTTAAGCATTCCTTATGATATAACTTAAAGTATTTCATTTTTTTCATACAGGTAGTTCTTAAGCTTAATTTTTTTTCAAATGTTTTTCTATCTGTAAGACTCGAATTGTCCACCGGTCAGTTTGACATGTTCTCTTTAAAAGACAGTTTGTGGTGGATTTCGTTCTAAAGTTGCTGAGCCTATAAATACCAACACATCTCATTTCCTGATAAGTCACAGTCAGATCATAGGTAATTTTTAATAGAATTATAAGCATAAAAAGAAACGAAAACAACACCGGAAAAACGACAAAACACAACAAAAAACAAATGATATTACATGCAGAATGATTTTATGATTATCCTTATAACGAAGGAAACACATATTTTTTAATTTTCGTTATCCTAACAACTACTGCATGGACTAAAGTTCTCACACCTTAAAACAAGATAAACCTAACCTTCGATTTGTAAAATCTTTAAATTTCAATGCTAAAAAAGAGACTGAAGACACGAAAAGGTCAATTAAAATTAAAAGTTGAAGAAAGTCGACCGCTCCATGGCAAAAACTAAAACCAACGAAAAATACAAACAACAGTATACAAAACACCACTCAAAAACTTAACACTAAGCAACACGAATCCCATCAAATACCTGATATGATATCAGGTGCACCGGAAGGGTTAATATATCCTGCTCTCCTTGTGGTACCCATCGTGTTGCTCAAGTACATATTCGCTGATTAATCTCCTCCTCTCTATAAAAAGGCATAAAACTAAACAATAATGTCCACCATCACAACAGCTTTCATGGATCATGCTTAACGACTTCAAAACGGAGACATTTTTGTCAGCAGAAAATTGCTACCAGAACAAACTAAAGGCTGTGGGCTTGTGTACAACAAGGCGAATCAACATTATGTATACAATTAACTAAGAAGATTGTTTAAACATGTTCAAATCTAAATGTACGTAAAATGAATACGCAGTATAAAATTATTACTTATATCACAGATGTATTGAAAAAAGTGGGAATGGGTGGACGGAAATTAAACATTACATTCTGCAAGTGTGCATGACTGATATAGAATTTAAAAAAAAACGATGATAAATGAGGATTTACTTAATGTTTGCAACGATATAAATTTCAACAAATATGAAGGAAAACCAATTTGAAAAATTTATAAAAATCTTTGAATAAACAAGGAAGAGTACACTATTACAACAAAGATATAAAAAAAGATGAAAAAAAAAGCAATAAACAGCTAAATCCCTCCTTTTTTGCTTTAAGAAAATAAAGCCATTTTCCGCTACTTTTGACAGATTCAAGTATTGTGCATTTCATTTAAATGTTTTTTACTTCGAAGCGGTCACTTCTGGATAGGCATATCGGATAAAGTTCAAGAGAGAAAGTGAATATACTCAAAAGGACAGATTCCGATAAAAGTCAACATTTTTTTAACCAGGGAAACCAAATTCTATGACATCCGCAACTTGTGTCGCTTTGTTAGCTGGCTACTTTGGATACTGGGGCACATGGGATATGTCTTGCAAGTTACTAGTTCATTTGTGAAGCAGATAATAAGTTAGATTAAAGTGACAAATACAATAAAGCAAAATACAATGCAAAACTTCAGTTAAAACAAAGAAAAGAACCAGTATACTTATTTAAGATAAAATTCATGATCTAGTTTTGAAAAAAAATGTTTCAGGGAAAATCTTCATCAGGTTCAATCGGGATCGAAAGTTTGGAAAGGCTAAAACATAAATAGAACGTTCAGGAGATTAATAACGAATGAGAGACACACCAGGATACCAAAACCGTCTAAGGTTAAACTTGCCTTATAGAGTTGTAACTTAGTTTTAATGTATTCATTAAACTGTTCAGTGGTTGTCGTTTGTTGAAGTGGTTTATATGTGTTTCACGTTTCTCATTTTTATATACAGATTAGACTGTTGGTTTTCCTGTTTGAATGGTTTTACGCTAGTCATTTTTGAGGCCCTTTATAGCTTACTGTTCGGTGTGAGCCAAGGGTCCGTGTTGAAGGCCGTACTTTGACCTATAATGGTTTACTTTTACAAATTGTGACTTGGATT